CTAACACAAAGTGTAACAAGAACGTTGTCTAGAAGGGTCATGGTCACATTTTTCCTACTACACAAACGTTACCAAAAGCCAGTCGTATAATTAACAGGTTAATTACAGCTTTAAATGTCTGTTGTTTCAGGTTATGGGGACATCTATCCCGTCACCCTGCCTGGTAAGGTGGCTTGTGTCTTCTACGCCATGGTGGGCATCCCTCTTATGCTTCTGGTCATCCTCGATGTTGGAGACTTCCTCGCTATGGGGATGTCTACAGCCTACATCCGTGCTCACACCCTGTCCAAAAACCTCTTCTCCCGCACCTGGTCCCCATGGAGGACTGAGCAGAGAGACTCGAGGCGCCAGGTCCTGGAGGATGGCACTTTTGTCTTCAGCCATGACGTTGTGATCCGCGAGCCCCTCGACATCCGACAGGTGCTCCGCAGCCAGGCGGATGTGCGGCACAAGTCCATCCAGCTTCAAAACAACAAAGAGATTTTTGAAAAGATTCTTGCCAGAGAGAATTTGCTGAGGGAGGGTCCACTGCTCAGGACGCTGTCCTGCCCAGAACTTGATCGTCTGTCACCACCACCCAAAGGATTTGCCATGTGGGATTTCACAGGATTAGGAGATGAAATGGAAACACTGAATGTCCCCTTTGTGCTCATTCTTTTCATCGTCTTTGCCTACATTTGCTTTGGGGGCTTGATTCTGCCCATATGGGAAACTGATTTTAAAAACTTTGATTCCTATTACTTTTGCTTCATCACCCTCACTACCATTGGTTTTGGTGATATTATGCCCAAACACCCCAACTTCTTCATGCTCACCTCGCTGTTCATCATTGTCGGCATGGCTATCATGCCCATGGCTTTTAAACTGAGCCAAACACGAATTGTAAGCTGTTACCGCCAATGTGTCAAGTTCATCAGCAGAGGAAATGTGGAAACCTTTCGGAACAGCAAGAAGGAGTAGGCCACCGAGAGTCTCTGCCTCACTCTCGGTTCTGAAACAGGCCCATATCAGGAGCCAGTAGGAGTTGCATGCCTTTTCCTTACAAGCATGAGTAAAGGAAAAAGTTGCATGTGCCCTTCACGATTGCTGAAGGAGGTTTACATTTTCACAGCTGTAGTAATGATGCTAAACGTTTGTTTCTACATAGAGACGGTGAATCACCAGGAGTTTTCCGTGTTGTTGTGGTGGCCTTATACATCAATTAGCTACACATAAGTTATTAATGTGATTGGGATTTAGGGAATTGGACTGGAGACTGGCTAAGCCACTCCATGACCTTAATCTGCTTCTTCTGCAGCCATACCTTTGTTGCCTTAGTGGTATGTTTCAGGTCATTGTCCTGCTGGACGACCCACCGTCTTCAGTGTTCTGGCTGAGGGAACAGAGATGCACGTCAAACATATAGAAAGAAGAATCACAACAACAGTTGTCAGCTTCTCACCTGCCTTACACAGGTCTACAGTCTTGTCCGGAGGTCTTTTGGCAGAACCTCTTGCCCTTGTTGTTGGAGAGGTTGGAGTGAAAGTAGTTGCTAACCATCGGCGAGGCTGTAGGTGCTCAAATATTTCACTCAGTAACATGCAAATCAATTTATTTATTTAACTTTTATGCAATGTGTTTGTTTTTCTGGATTTTTGGTTGATATTCTTCTCTCTCTATTAAAATGAAACTACCATACAAACGA